CGGGGATGAGTCGCTCCTAGACTAAAAAATTGTAGCTTCCTTTTGGATTACTAGGGCCGTGAAACTAGTTAAAACTAAGCCGTTACATTTTACATTAGATGAGCTGTATTGCTGCGTTATATGCTGAAAACTATTGAAAAAATAAGCTATCTAAATAATTACGTTCACTTTCTGCCATTTATGGTCATGTTTGTTATTTTGTAAGCTTACTCTTATATATTGTCTGTGTTGGTGTGTGTATTGCAATGATCATATGGTGGTACTTGAGTAGATGTGACAGATGATGCAACTACTTCTCATACTGGAAGGTCTGGCTAAGGAATGTAAGAGTCATCACGCTTTTAGGAGAAATGTAGCTTCAATTATTTTGTTAGTCTAAGTCTTAGAGATAGATCTAGACTATTTAGTTATATTTTTCAAGAAATGTAATTTTTGTTTATAAATTTGTATTTTGAACTCCATTTGAAACAACTGTTGTAAATACATATAATTATATAAATGTTTGGGTTATATGAAAATACTCTTGGAGCTCTATTATTCTGTTAAGATGTCAAAGTTTAATTTCTGAAAAGTATATCTTTTATATATATAATCTCATAAATAAATCTATACTGGGAAATAGTAAAGCAATATATCATTTATCCTTTCCAAAAAGGGGTTGCGACATAGGGTTGGATTGAGTTTTTTTGTCCATTTCATATGAAGATATAAATGAAAATTTACTTGCCTTATTTGCTCTATGCAAGTAACCTTCACACAAATATCTTGTAGTGTCAAAGAAGAATTGAAATGGATTAAATAAGGAAATGAACATAAAGTAATTATGTTGCTATATTGAACCAATATTGATCTATGACCTCTAAAACGTTTTCTTTGCCTACTATGCCAATAAACTCTTTTTCCCAGTGCTCAATTATCATATGAATTATAGCAGCATCAATGGCTTGATCACTTCTTATAAAAAGCTTCATCATATTGAAGCATGCAACATCTTGGGCCTTTGCTAACTCAAAAAGCTCTTACAAATTAGAAACAACACCTTTATTGGTTAGACTAGCAATCGATTCTTTAGTATGACTTGTCTCTTTCCCTAACCTTTTACTTGATGATGGGGCAACTCAGAATATATCAAAGTTTGATGATCGAATGAAAAATTTATAAATTATGCGTGTAGTCCAAATTTATAAAGAAAAGTGATACATACCTTGGGTTGTAAAGTGATTAAAGACAATGGGCATGCAACATAAGTACCAATTACATCTCTCAGGCAAATAAGGTTTGCTTCTTCATTTGGAATAGACAATGTAGCCTCTTCTTCATGTCGTTGCACTACCTATATTGAGACCTTACCATGATTTGGAGGAAGAGTTGTATTGTATAAAGAATCCCCAACCATTGTATAATATACTCTCTCTCTCTTGTTAAAACACCAGAGGTGCTGCAAATAAATTTGCTAAGTGGCATATTCACGAACAAGTTAGAAGATATCATTTAACAATCTTTATTCTTGTGGAAAATCATGCACAATTTCATAAAGTACTAGGTTTTGGAAATGATTAGGGTTTCAAGAAGTGATTATAAATGAACTCAGAGGACATGTCCTCTGGGTTCTTCATCAAACTTCACTATCTTTTGATATTATTGAAATTAACTATTAAGTTTTAACCTTTTCCATGAAGAATGGAGGGGCAATGAGTGTGTTCGTTTGTTTATGCTAGCCCAGTTCCCTAAATCAAAGTAATTTGTGAGATTATTTTATCCAGCTAAGTGATAGGATTATTCACCCATGGATTCTTATTGGAGACTTCATTATATGAATGTTAATCTTCCAATGAGATTCTGAGTGGCTTTTTTAATACTGCGCAGGCTTTACCCTTATTGACCAATGAGTCAATGACCAAGATGGACCAAGCTTCTGTGGTGAATATGACGCTAGATGGGGGAGGGAAGGTATACTTGGTGTAGAACAAGTTTCATTTCAATAATTTACAATATAAAAATTGACATATATTATTAATGTTAACTCTAATTCTAATTAAAAATAATACTAAAAATACTTGTAAGGTAACACTTAAATTCATTCCTTATTTTAATAAATGAGTGAATAAATCACCAATAAAATCTATCTTTAATAATTATAAAAATTAGTAATACCTTAATACACTTAAATTATGAATCATGACCGTGTGATCTCAATATAACAACTCTACTACAAGTAGAATAAAGAAAATTTACCATGTAAGTTTCTATTGTAAGTTCTTGGATATAAATTTAAAAATTTATATAATATAATAATTATTATAAGATATACTTAAGATAAACTCATCTTTATCTTTATTAGACTAAAAATTCAGTGATATTTTTTTAAACCTTAAATTCAACTTGATTAAAATTCAATAATTTAAATAAAAAACTGTCAACTTAATTTTTTTATAAAATATATTAAATCTTAATATTATGTACAGTTAAAATATAATTAATAAAATATAAAATTAAAGTTAAATTTTAAATTTAGTCTTATACTTGACGCACTTTTTTAATTTAGTCCTTACATAAAAAAATTATAATTTAATCATTACATGAGTATACACATTTGGATTATATTTTACCTTTAAAAACACGTTAACAACGTAAAAAGAATCCATACAAAGATTAAAACGTAAATTTACTTATGTAAGGACTAAATTGTAAATATTATTTTTTTATGTAAGGACCAGATTAAGAAAGCGCATCAGATATAGGAACTAAATTTATAATTTAACTTAAAATTAAAGTATGAAATATTATATGATGTATATTTTTAAAAAAATAATATTAGTATAAAATACAATTCTTAATATATTATTATAGGAAAGAAAATTACTCGTTCAAAAAAAAATTCTCAATTAACTTACTCTATTCAATAACTTTTTACATGATAATAGACTCTAATTCTATTTTTAGTTTATAAATACTAATATCTATTATAAAAGTATATATAGTCTTGTTATTTCAGTCACAATTAGCTTAATATATAACTTGAACATACACAGAGTTTGATAGAAAGCTTCAGTACAAAATAAAGCAACACTGAAATATAAGGTAACAGAGTCTAATTGCCAAGAGGAGAACTCAAAGCAGTTCTAACTTCTAAAACTTGTGCCTCCTATACAATGATACTCTCCTCCAATTGATGCTTAAGATCTTCCAAATGTTGTGTCAAAGTACGCTTTGTATCTATTACTGGGTCAAAAGGAATCTATGAAATCCTTTAGACACTACTCCCTCTCAACACAGAGAAGGTTGAAGAGGGAACTCAATGTATTAAAATTGATCAGAATCCATAAAAGACACAACGGAGAGTGTTATATAACCCTCCACACACCAACTACTTTTCCCTCTAATTAACCCTTTTTTTCTCACCACTCATAATGGCTACTTGAGGCTAACTTTCTAATTTTAACTAATTTGCTATTTTAATATTATTTTCCAATTGTGTTTATTACATACTGAGTGTGTTGTCCCTTAAACAAACACAAGGGTGCTTCACAATGAAATCAATCAACAAAGACATGTTCTCAGAACTCAAATGCTTGTTGGAGACCAGTTGGTCAAGTTCCCTTTTCACAAAACAAGCAAAACTTGAGTCATCTACAATTTGAGAAAGGTTCCCTAAGTGAAACAAAGATTAATTAATAATTAAGCATCTTGAGATCACAAAAAATATAAAATTAGAAAAAAAAATAAAAAAGCAATGAAAATACCTTCAATTGGCACTAAAAGAGACTTGGACACTACAGGGGAAGTGATTGTAAGAGAGGGCTTAGAATGCCATTTAAAACGTACTGTATAGCTATTTTGCCATCATTGTAATTTCACCCGGTAGTAGAGGTGAGTAATTTCTTAACTTCTAATTTGTTTTCTACGGTTTCTATCTACACACGGGCTTCTCTTCTCACTCTTTTTATTCAACATTGTTGCATTGAACTATCACATATTGTTCACAAACTATTAATATTACATCTAATACATTTTTTTTACTATTTTTATAAAATAAAGCAATAAATTTATAATTTCAAAATAAAATTTACCCATAGAAAAGTTTACTCAATAATAAAAAACAAATTCCCTAAATATGCATGAATAAATAATTGACTTTTTACTAATATTTATAAACTGATAATAATAAGAAAATTAAATAAATAAAAATATAAAACTAAAAAATATATCTAACTTATGTAACTTCTTCCCGCTCCTTGTAAGTTTCGCAAATTTTTTGAAGTATCAACCACTTTCAGACTACGACCACTAACAGATCTATCGTCGCATCCTAGACGATACACCTACAATTATGACAAGTATTTCAATCCTCACCATCAAACGTATGATATATCTGTGTTGTTAATACAAAGTTACTTGTCAGCCTCTAGGCCAGTATCAGAGGTTATGGGACGATAGACTTCTAAAATAATATTTAAAAATTATTATGGTTCATATAAGTCCGTTACTGGTGTTGACTTAGCGAAAAAAGACCCTAAATAGGAATTAAATTTGCATAATTCAGTAAGCATACATCTCTTAAGTTCCTTGGATGATTAATCTGTAATAAAAGAAAAATGCTATGATCTTATTCACTTGTGTACACCAATGGGTTTATATTATGGGAATGATATTTTCAATTTAGTATCATGTCTGATGTTTTGTTTCTTTTGTAGTGATGATGGTCAAATTACAAGAAATGTGTTGGTTTATCAAAATTCTAGCGTACATTGCCCAAACAGAATAACGACAGCATATGTATATACAAAATAATAATAATAATAATAAAAAATAAAATAAAAATCAATGAAACATGAAAGTGAGGATCAACTGCACAGGACACAATTTAAAAGGAAATTAAACAATATATTAGAAGTTGGAAGGAGTTTACCATTGTAAGCATGACATATCGAGATCACTTTCACCTTCTACGAACTAATAGTCGAATCTCAAATACTTAAAGTCATACAAGCGAGACATACATGAAATTAAAATAACTTGATAACTAAAAGGCAAAATTCGAGCACAAAAAGAGATAATGGAAAGCATTGATAATTAAATTTGAATAATTACATTGGGGGCTATTTACAAGAATTCAAAAGAAAAATAAAATATTACATCAAAATTAAAAAGGAGGCTTTGAGCGCATTTCTGTAAAAACGGCTCTCAAATTTTGATATCTTGTTTCCAAGGCGGTACACTGAGCATCCAAGCTCGAAATATTCTCCATAGCTCGAGCCCTTTTAACAGTTAAGGTCTTCACATTCTCTATCAATGCTTGCCTCTTTTTCTCACAAGCCGCCCTGGCCTTATTCAGCATCTCCTCCTCTTTTCGAGCTCTTTTGAGCTGTTTTTTCAGGTCAACTATCCTGGCCCTGACCTCCTTCTTCTTAAGGTCAGCAGTATTGGTTAATTCCTTGAGCTTGCCCAATGCTTTTCGAGCCTCTTTTAGCTTGTTGAAAGCTGAGTCTTTAGCTTCCTGGGCTTGCTCATGCCTGACACCGACCACAGAAATTCGGTCAATAATGGCCAAGGAGTCAACAAACAGAGTCTCGAAACGCTGAAGCCCTTCTGGAAAGGGAGAAATCTGCTCCTTCAATGAAGATAATATGTCCTTGATCTTTGTGACCAAGTCTTTGTCAGTTAGAAGATTTTTCATTAAAGATGTCTCGAAAGCCAAAGCCTTGAGCTCTTCGAGCAATTTCTCAGCTGATTCAGTGGGCTTGGAGACCTCAAAATGTGATCCTGAAGGTGTCTTTGATGAAGAGATAGTCAAAGATCCCGCCAAGAGTTTGTCGAGCGCCCCTTCTGCATCTTCTTCCACCATGGCGTTAAAGTCATCCAAATTAATCTCCAAGGATGATACTTCAGGAAGAACCTTTGTGGAGATCTTGGCCTGAAAAATAAAAATATAGGTCATAAAAATGGAATGAGTCTTGGAAAGATTGATAACGAAAACTCGAGATATTACCTTTGAAACCCCAGAGCCAAATTGAAGGGCGAAAGAGAAAGGCACTTTTCGAGATGTTTTGATCTTCTTCTTGGGTGGCTCATCCTCTTCCCATTTTTTTTGATCATATCGACCAAGGAAGGGCTTTGTCGGAAGGGCTGCAAAAATGCAAATACTTCATAAATGAGCAAACATGAAAGATCAAAGCGAAATATGGAGATAGACAAGAAAAACCTTATCATCTGAAAACTTTGTAAGGATTTTTACGTCTTGAATTTTGAGGTGAAAATGATGAAAATATGTTTAAAAAACACCTCGAAGTTGTTACTCTATTACAAGGAGGAGCCAAATCATTCAAAAATATCAAAAGTAAATCTATCCATTTGGAAGAAATTATTGGTAAAGCTAAGGCAAAATCACAATTTGTTACAGGTGAAAAACTCGAGCAAAATCGTTTGAAAAAGGTCTCCTCTGAGATGGGTTCGAAAAGGTGATATTCTCAATTTGGTAAAGCTAATACCTCAATTTCAAAAGAAAAGAGAACTCATAATCATAGGAAAATTATAGGATAAATTGTACCTAGAAAGCTAAATTACATCATAAATCCCTATGACTTTCCAACTATCTTGTTTTTCTTTTTCGACCCTGTCCATATAAATCTTTAGTGACAGGAGGCATGGTTCAGAATATTTTGTGCAAACTTTGAAGGGAGTCCAACTTATATTTCGAGAAAAAGGATAAAATCTCTTCAAAAGACCCAGAGGCACGAACCCAACATCAGAAGTAGTCAAAGAAACTCTTGACTTGGATGCCATTTCGAGAAGAAATAAAGAAAATGAGATGGAGGAAAGAGAGATTCCGACACAAAGAGAGCTTTGAGAGGGCAAAGCTTTGAGAGATGCAGAGTAAAAATGAGAGAAAAAAATGAGAAAGTAACTCTACCTTATATACTAGTTCTAGACTCATGTTAAGGCCCATGAAAATAGCCCAAGTCCAAGGTGTTTTAGCACTTAGTGGGAAGTTGAAAAGATCATGGAGTGTAAGAAGCATAAGCAGAAATCAAGTTCAAATTTTCCTCGTCCTTTTTGGTGTCCAAGAGTCTCTTCATTTTGACTTAATTTGCTAATATTTCTAAACGAATGAATTCCACAATCATTGCTGTCAATCAAACCTTCATGCATGTTAATCTCTGGAGTAAAACTAAACAGTTTTTTCTTGCAATTTTTATCTTTCTTGTTTGGAAGAGAAAATTCAGGAGAGTCTTTTGACAATCTACCTTTCAATATATCAATTCCTTCTTTGAGACTTGACATGCTGGGAGTAGTGTCAAGAATTTTCATCTTTGAAATGCTTTTATGCACAGAAGATGGAGTTGCATCACTTGTGACACAGACCTCTGGACCAAATTTACCAGATTGCTCTAAAGCTGGAATTATATTTCCAGCATACCTGGATGAACCATGAGAACTTGTAAATAATTGTTTACTTCCTGAAACTGACAATGGCGTAGACCCATGTATTGGATTTTGATTTACTTGATCAGATTTACGATTGGAGTCAAACACTCGTCCTCTGTCTTCATCCACCTTTACTGGTGTTCCCCTATAAGCATTAGCAAAGCCCAATTGTCTACAAATTGGTACAGTAGAATCTTTAGCAAACTCCTCAATTTGCTGCAAAAGAAAATAACAAACAGCTTACACCTGTACGTAACTCAACAGTTGCAATAGCAGATATAAGGATAGCCACAAAAGTCTCATCATAAACAATGCACACTGCACACCTCCACTAAAATACATAGAACTAGACAATGCAGCAATAATAAATCCACCGTCTCCCTAGTTACTACCCACCTTACCAAAAATAATTTTCAAGTGCACCAAAAAAGCTTTTAAAAATTAAACAACGAAACTAGTCATCGATAGCATGAGACCAAAATAATCAAATAAAACATTTCCCACCTTGATTGGAGATCCAAAAGCTTGGATTTGGTGAACCTGATTAACTGGAGAGGCAATTGAAGAATCTGCCACCTTAACAGGCACATTTGGTGAACCCTTGCTCCCTCCTGCCAAAATAGCATCCAACGCAGGAGAGAGCCTGTCGTAACGATAACTCTGTACGTGCTCTCCCTCGATGCTCATGTCATTTGAGTCTCCGCCACCACTTTCCACATCTGCAGCAAGCACTTCTCTCAGCTTCTTCCCCTCCGTGAGATCCATGGAACTTCCGTGAGAGCTCGGAGTCGTGAGGTCGACCTGTCGAGTCTTGATGTCGCCAGAATCGGACCGAGCAAGACTCTGGTATTGCAGCGAGAACGCCGTCGAGTCCATCGTGACCTCGTCGGAGGCACCGGAGTCTGATAACCCATCCGGTCTGATGAAACAGGCCGATACCGGACCATGAAAATCATCATCCTCTGCATACATCAAGCAAGCACAACAAATTTATCAACGATGGAGAGAAGCCGAAGAACTATAGGAACAACAAAACTTCCTTATGTACTTTTGATTCTATTTTTCAAACGTAATGAGATTTGGAAAATAGCACCAAAAGTATCAAAGTAACTGTACTGTCCCTAAAGGAAACGAGAACAAAAGAGTTAGGGCTCAGCGTCACCGTCGCCGTTGTCGGCGGTGCTGCTGCCTCCGGGGGAGGGGGAGCCGATTGGTCGGAGGAAGGAGTTGCTGGCGTCGGCGTCTAGATGAGGTCGCTCGTCGTCGTCACTGTCGTTGGTGAGGTCGCGGGAAAACCCTAAGACGGAGGGATCGGGAGGGTTATCGGTAGAAGAGGAATCGTCATCGTCGCGACGGAAGACGTGGACGGAGGTGATCTCGTTGTCGGCGAAGCTCACGCGACGCGCCCTCTTCTTCTTCAGCGCGATTGTGTCGTCTTCTTCGGTTTGGGTGTTGTTCTTCGAAGGCTCCATTGTCGATGTTTGGGTCTCTTACCTTCTTTTTCTTTCACTCACTCTCGCTCGCTGTCGCTGCTATGGACTATGGTGTATTTGGCTCAGAGAAAGATTGGGTATGGAAGCAAATGGACCTCTGTTTGTATAGTCAGAAGGAAAGTAGACTGTAAACGCGATTAGTCACTGAGGCATTTTAAATTGGGTGATTAACTTAGTAAAGGTAAATTTAAATCATCAAAAATATATAAAATTTAAATAATTTATATGTCTAGGTAGATATTTGTGCAGATTGAAAATGTGAAAAATTTTGAATTAATAAAACTAAAAATAAAAAATAAATTTTATTGGTCAATGATAATTAAATAAAAAATAAAGTTTTGGTCCTTTCGTTTTTTATTATATTTTTTAAATTCTGTTAAATAAAAATTAAATTTAAATTTCATTCTTTAAAATAATAAAACTCATTTTATATTATTTTTACAAAAAAATTTAAATAAAAAATTAATAAATTTAAGTTTCGTTATTTAACCACACTTATTTTTTATTTATATTTTTTAAAATTTTTTTATTTAATGACTATTTTTTAGATCCTTTATAAAAAAATATTGAATACAATGTAAAAATTTGTCACACTACTAGAAATTGTCTTTAATTATTTTAATATATATATATATATATATATAATATATATTTTTATTTTAATCTTAAAAATTTTAAAAAAAATTAAATAAGTATTTTTCAATTAAAATTATCAATTTTATTAATATTTTTATATTTTTTGTCACACTTGGGATTATATTTTATTTACCATAGTCTTCTTTAGATATTCAAATTTAATTTTATCTTTTACTTTTTTTTTTCTCTTTCATCTTCCTTTCTATCTTTTTCTTTCTTCTTCTACTTTTTTTTTCTTCCTCTTCAAAATCTTGCATAGTAGAGAGTAGTAGTTCTCATTCTAAGGGAGTGTTGTGTGACCCAAGAGAAAAATATCGCCATTCTTACTTACTCAAGAGGTGTTGTTATTGATCAACAATAAGATTCTTAAGAATGATGCAATATTTGAGGTGAAGTAGAAAAAGTATGATTATAGTAAGAGTAATTGCACAATGAGAGAGTCAAAAGTGCAAGTTGAGTGTTTGTTGGAGAAGAAAAAGGTAGGAGAGAAAGATACAATTAAAGATCTAAAGAAGAAGATAATGAATAATGTGTGAATAGAAAAAGATAATAAATATTAATAGAGGTAACATTTTTATTGAAAAGTGACCTATTTGAAACATTTTTAAAAGTTAATAGATTAAAATAAATGAAAATAAAATTAAAGGAAAAAAAAACTCTAATTTTGCCTATATGTACACACAAACACATCAAACTACATATTCTCTTTGACTTTAATCAGGAATTTTATTATTTTTTTAAGATTTATAAATAAGTATCTTACCAACCCAAATTTTCTTGCATAAACCTCTCTAAGCTCAATTAAACTTTAAGTATCACGTAAACAAGAATCTTTAATTATTTTTCTTCAAGCTAACAACTCTCTATGTAAGAAAGAAAAATATACAAAAAAATAATTTTTTAATGTTATGTGACATAACTTTTATAACAGCCCAAAATTTTTAATGCAAAAAATACCTATTTTATTTATAATAATTCAAAATAAAATACTAATTTTCATGTATGATAAACTTAATTATTACAAGTTAATAAAAGTTTCTCTACAAAAGGGTTTATTCTTACAAAACTTTTAAACAATACAATATTAAATGGAACAACAATACATTTAAAGACCATAATAAGCCAGAATTAATTCTTCTAAGTGGAAATCTGAATATGCATTACATATATCAAGTCTAATAATTTATGAACTATTTGTCAAAATATATGGGACTTAAAATAATATTTACATAGCCAAAATAATTATATCACATACACAATTTTAAGTTCCAGAGCAACCCCAAAATATATCCCAACCCTAAGAATCCAGTACTAGTCAATCCCATGCTAACTTTCAATCTCTGCTAAATCTATAGAGTTAAGGTCATCATCGGATCTAAGATATAGATCCCCTGAGTTAGCCATAACCTCAACCCCTATGACTCGTTCCCTGGTAACTTGAGTTGGCCTTCCAAGATGATTACGGTCGTGATATGTAAATAGATATGTAAAGGCTGTTAGAGTTCTAACAATACCTTTATATATAGATACATAGGGTATGGTGTATTCTACTCAGAAAAATCAAAAGGAATGCTATAAGATAGATCCATTTCTAACATGATAAAAGTCCTAAGTACATCATCAACACGGACAACAAACTTAAAATAACATATCCTCTAATATTCATTATATACATAATTAAGCCTATTATGTACATAACTATCTATTAGTCTAATTATTTTCTGATGCTCTGTCATTCAAGTTACCTGAAAATATTATTAAGGATGAGCGTTTATTCTATCATTTACAAAGCATTACATCATAGAATCATAGTTGTAATATAAAGAAAATATATTCATTTTTCACAACCCAATTAAAAATGCAAACATATTCACATATACATAACTCAACAATTTCTTTTATGTCATCAACTTTCCTTTTTCTAATACACACTCCCAGTGCATTGTGATCGCAGACAGTGATACCTCTAGCATTTCTTGAGGTCTTACTCAACTATGTAAATAGTCGCCAGTTAGCTCATGCACACAGATACAACGTATACAATAATCGAGACCCTTAGTAAAACTGTAGTCAGGAGTCTAGTCAGGAAACGAGTGTGAGGTCATGTGTGATGATTCATATTTTGTACTCACATTTATAGTCTTATTGCATCTTCCAAAATACCTTTTCTCTCTTTATTTATTTCATCTAGCATGTTTTTGCATTTCTTGCATTAAATTGGAGTTTTCATGAATAGTTGTTATCTTTACTTTATATTTCATATTTTCTTTATTCTGACCTTTGTTCACTATTTCGGCCATAACTTTTTTTTGTAAATCTCCTTTTTGGCTGATTCTTTTTGCAATGGATTCCTGACTTCTTGGGATTTAATTTGGATATATAGATCATGCTGTTTGGAGTTTGGAGCTATTTTCTATTAATTTTTGAAGTTCAGACTTAAAATATTAGGATTTTTATTTAGGGCTTTTATTATAATTGCTTGCAGCAGCTTTGGCCCATTTATCACCATTTTCATTTAAGACCAGTATATATAGGGGTCAAAAGGTTGACTTTAGGACCTCTCCTTTTCATAATTTTGTTTTTCTGTAAAGACTTTTTCTCACTAAACCATTCATAGTTTTTCAACATATTCAAATACAATCAACACCATTCTCACATATTCACCTATATTCTCAATTATTTCGAGTTCATTTTCAATCAATGGCATGTTCACACATATCAACCACACTATACTCAAACACATAATAATTTCCATTACAACATCATACCAATCAATTCATTTCATCATACACACTATTCAACATCCATCAAAATCCAATCATAATCAACCATTCTCATCAAATACACATCATCCTACATTTTATTCTAATCACATTGCAATACCCAACACAATAAACAAATTCTAAGTACAATGAGATAGGATAAAATCCTCCCATACCTCGGATTGAAGACCCAAACACAAAATTGACAATGAAAAGCCTCCTCAGGTGGATCTCGTTCTAAACACATGAAAAATCTCCATGATAACTCAAGAAAACAAAGAAAAGGACGAAGGAACGAACCCTAGCCCATAAAACTTACTTCTAAACGCTCTAAACATGATTCCAACCTTCAATCTTGCTCCCAAATAGTTTTGGAGGCAATTTATATGGTGAAATAGGGTTGAGAGTTGAAAGAATTGAAGAGATTTTGAAGAGAATAATGAGAAATGAATTTTTCAAACCCTAAACCTCTCAAATACTCTTTGGTCGCGATGTTCTCGCTATAGCAAGACATCTCTCGCTATAGCGAGGGAGCAACACCCCTCCTTACTCCAGCAAAAATATCAGAGGAAACTACACCTTGATTTTTGTAGAATCTTGCTACAGCGAAGCCCTTTCTCTTCAGCAAGACTACAACCTAGAAATGCACCATTCTCTGTTGCCTACTCACTATAGCGAGGAGCCTCTCGCTACAGCGAGAACATAACAAAATTACTCCCTTCTCCCAGGACCTTCTCGCTATAGCGAGAACGCCCCTACAGCACATACTTATCCTATTTCTTCAATCAATCCAATTCAACCACCAGTCAAACATTCTCAATCAATCCACACACGTATTCACATCATAACATAGTCAAATGTACATTCAAACATCAATTCACGTATTTATATCAATAATTAAAATATCATCACAAAATTTGGAGCATTACAACTCTCTTCTCCTTTAGGGAATTTCGTCCCCAAAATTCAGCCAATCTATACAAATAATTTTGGATACAATTTTCTCATTCTACTCTCCGCTTTCCATGTGGCATCTCCCTCATCACTTGAGCTCCATATTACCTTCACCAACAAGATCTCCTTGCCCTTCAGTTACTTGACACAATGATCATCAATTCGCACTAATATACATCATAGGACAAGCCCTCCCTCACTTGAACTGGGTCAAGGTCGATCACGTGAGAAGGGTCTGGCACATACTTCCTGAGTTGTGATACATGGAACAACGGATGTAGGTTTGGGAGATTCGGAGGTAGCGCTATCCGGTACACTGCAAAACTGGTTCTACTCGGCACTTTGAACGGTCTAATGAATTTTTAGGAGATAGCTTCTGAGATTTCAGAGCTCTCCCAACTTTGATCACAGGTGAGACCCTAAAAAATACATGGTCACCCATCTGGAACTCCAAAGACTTTCTCCTCTTATCATAGTAGCTTTTCTATCGATCTTATGCAGCCTTCATCTTTTCTCTAATCATTTTGATCTGCTCATTCTGCTTCTATATCATGTCTGGTGCACACAGAGTTGCCTCTCCAGTCTCATACCAACAGAAAGGAGTTCTGCACCTTCGCCCATATAAAGCCTCAAACGGTGTCATCCTAATACTAGCGTGAAAGCTGTTGTTGTACGTGAACTCCACCAATGACAGACATTCTTCCCAAGTTCTCTGCTGCAGTCACACAAGCTCTTAACAAGTCTTCCAGGGATTGGATGGTCCTCTTTGTTTGACCATCAGTTTGTGGATGATATGTCGAACTAAGCCTCAACTTAGTACCCAACACCCTTTGCAGACTCTCCCAAAACCTCGAAGTAAATCTCAGGTCTTTGTTGGATACCACACTAGTCAGCACTCCATGCAGCTTGACTATCTCCTTCACATACATGTCTGCTAGTCTTTCCAATTTGTATTTCATGTTGATCGGGAGAAAGTGTGTAACTTTAGTCAACTGATCCACTATTATCCAAATAACATCATAGTTGTTCCTGGTTCTCAATAGTCTAGAAACAAAGTCCATGGAAATGTTATCTCATTTCCACTCAGGGATCTCCAAAGGTTGTTACAACCCAGGTAGGCGCCGGTGTTCCACCTTCTTCTTCTGACAGGTTAGGCATCTCAACACATACTCCACTACATCCTTCTTCATTCCATTCTACTAAAAGTTCTTACGAAGGTTCTGATACATCTTGGTCGCACCGAGGTGAAAACTCATTCTACTCTTATGCGTCTTCTCAAGTATCATTTATTTCAACTCATCCACTTGGAGAATGCACACATGATTTTGAAACTTGATTACCCCATTCTCATCACAGTGGAACTCTAAATCCTTTCCCTCACTCTTCTGTCTCATTATGTCTTGGAGGAATATATCTCCTTGCTGAGCATCTCGAATGTGCACCAAGAAGTCATTATGGATCGTCACCGTCCCAAGAAACAAACTCCTTGGTCTTATCTCCATAGCCAGATTCGTGTCACGAAAATCTTCAATCAACTCCATCTCTTTTATCATCATAGCTACCACGTGCAAAGACTTTCTGCTCAAAGCATCAACAACCACATTTGTCTTGCCAAGATGGTAAGATAATGTGAAGTTATAGTACTTGAGGAATTTCACCCACCTCCTCTGCCGCATGTTTAACTCCCTATGGTCAAACAGATACTTCAAGCTCTTATGGTCGTTAAACACTTCAAACCTTGCTCCATAAAGGTAGTGCCTCCACACCTTAAGAGCAAACACCACTATTGCTAACTCCAAATTGTGAGTTGGATAGTTGACTTCATGAGGATCTAGCTGCCTTGAGATATAGGCAACCACTCACTTGTCTTGTGTCAAAATGCACCCAAGTCCATGCCTAGACGCATCACAATACACATCAAACTTCCGCTCAGGGTCAGGTAGAACCAACATAGGTGCTAAAGTAAACTTCACCTTCAGCTCTATGAAACTAGCTTCACACCTTCTGTTCCACTTGAATCCTTCCCCTTGCGGGTCAACTTCGTCAAGGGTAAAGCTATCTTAGAAAACTCCTCAATGAATTTTCTATAATAGCTTACTAGTCTACTAGTCTTAGGAAGCTGCAGATCTCTGTCACATTTGTCGACTTTGGCCATCAGGCTACTGCTTTTACCTTTGCAGGATCTACCATAATTCTATCCTTAAACACGATATACCCTAAAAACTGAATTTGTGACAACCAAAACTCAAACTTGGAGAATTTCGCATACAGCTGCCTTTCCCTCAAAATTTGCAAAATTATCATCAAGTGCTCGGTATGCTTCTCCCGAGTCTTTGAATAAATCAGGATATCATCAATGAACACCACCACAAACTTATGCAAAAATTCGTGGAAGATTCTATTCATGTAGTTCATGAACACAGTTGGCACATTAGTTACTCCAAACAGCATCACCAAGTACTATAACTTCTCATTCTCATTCTTCACCCTAATCTAGTGGTACCCCGACCTCAAGTCAATCTTCAAAAACACTACAGCTCTCCTCAGCTGGTCCATCAAATCATCAATTCTCGAGAGAGGATAGTTGTTCTTTATTGTCACCTTGTTCAACTTCTTGTAATCTACACACATCCTTATACTCCCATCCTTCTTCTTCACTAAGAGCAATAGTGCTCCCCATAGTGACACACTCGTCTCACAAACTGCTTCTGTAATAGGTCCTCTACTTGCTTTTTGACCTCTGCCAACTCTACAGGTGACATCCTATATAGTACTACAGAAATTGGGCTTGCTCTTGGAATGAGGTCAATCGCGAACTGAATTTCCCTCTCTGGCGGCAACTCAGAAACATCTTCAGGGAAAACTTCCAGGAAGTCCCTCACCACCAGGATATACTCTGGCTCTACTCCACTTTCATCTTCTATTGATAACATGACCATAAAGGCCTTAGTGTCCACTGTGTTCTCCCACGTACCTTGACTCAAAAGTCTTGGAATTTCTGACATCGATGCACAAAAAATTAACGTCTTCTCTCTGCAGTCCAGCAGCATATGGTTGGCAGCTAACTAATTCATTCCCAAAATCACATCTAATTGGGAAAGAGACAAACATATTAAGTTTACCTCGAAGTCCCTTCCATGCACCATTACAGAACACCCTAGACATGCCCAAGAGGTCACAACCGGCTTACCTGTAGGGGTAGTCACCATAACATTGCATGGTAATTCAGTCACATGCAAATCCAGACACTTCACACAGTCCACAGAAACAAATGAGTGTGTAGCACTCGAGTCAAATAATACATCCAATAATCTGCCTTTTATGACATATTTACCTCTAATTAGCTCCTCAGATTGTGAAGCCTTTGCCCCACTCATAGCGAATACTCTCCTGAAAATACTCAACTTCGACCCCGTACTCGACCTCATGCTTCCTCTAAATCCAGGCCTTTGGGCTATGCTCGTACTACTACTCTTCTTGGTAGTCCAGCACACATTAGTAGTGTGCCCCAACTTTCCCCAGTTGCCACAGTTGGTCCGTGGCTGTGGGCAATCCCTCAATATGTGTGCTCAGTTTGAGCATGGACTAAGGCCAGAAATTCGAGCTATAGTCAGTGTATTTCAGCTAAATGACTTGCCCACTCTAGTGAGTAAGTGCAAAATTTTTGAAGCCAATTCTAAGAGCAAGACTGTGGACAAAGAAATATCAGTACATAGCTTAGACACTTCAGCCCGATACCCCAGTCTGATTTGGATGAACTACTTTGATACCAAAATTGTAACACCTTAAATTTAATTTACAAAATAAATAACTTACACAATAAGGATGGATTATAAGTTTGAATCAAATAAATGCTACAGGACCTAATAAATACATCATCATTTCCAAAAAGAATAATTTTTCTAAGTCCTATAGCAATTTCATCCATCCCTTCACTGAGTCTGGTGTTGATCGTCTTGATCACCTGAAAAATAAATATAAGGGTGAGTACTCTACACTATCACACACACATATACAAGCATAGAGTCTCACCTTGCCCATTCCATACGTTTTCTAACAGAATTCAAATCATTCATCAATAAACACAAGTAATCATTTCAGTATTCCATTCTCATTCACACAGCAGTGCGCTCACTACACCATCAAACAATTCATATGAAACACTCAGGTGCACTCAGTACACATTAGCCACGCTCACTGTGGCACTATGATCACAATTTTTGATGCCCTCAACCTCAAGGACTTACTCAATTTCACATCATGGATGCTTGCCAAATAGCTCTCGCTCTACGGATACAATATGTGTAGTATTGAGCCCCCAAGCAAAGGTGTTAGTCAAAGGCTGAGTCAGGAGAAGAGTGTATGGCCTATGATGCACCCATGCTCACTTTTGGTGTCACCACCACCCTCTCTTTCCTAAGGTATTTCTACTGACCCCATCCTCCACACACCGAGTGTATCGTTAAACCATTCATAGTTTTTCAACATATTCAAACATAATCAACATGCCATTCTCACATATTCACCCACATTCTCAATTATTTCATCGTGTTCATTTTTAATAAATGGCATGTTCACACATATCAACCACACTATACTCAAACACACAATATTTTCCATCACAACATCATACCAATCAATTCATTTCATCATACACACTATTCAACATCCATCAAAATCCAATCACAACTCAACCATTCTCATCAAATACACATTATCCTACATTTTATTCTAATCACATTGCAATGCCCAACACAATAAACGAATTCTAAGTACAACGATATAGGGTAGAGTCCCCCTTACCTCGGATTGAAGACCTAAACACAAAACTAACAATGAAAAGCCTCCTTACGCTGATCTCGTCCTAAACACATGGAAAATCTTCATGATAACTCAAGAAAACAAAGAAAGGGATGAAGGAACAAAACCTAGCCTATAAAACTTACCTCTAAATGCTCCAAATGTGATTCCAACCTTCAATCTTGCTCCCAAATAGTTTTGGAGACAGTTTAAATGGTGAAATAAGGTTGGGGGTTGAGAGAATTGAAGAGATTTCAAAAAGAGGAATGGGAAATGAATTTCCCAAACCCTAAACCCTTCAAATACTCCTTTGGCCCCGATATTCTCACTACAGTAAGACATATCTCGCTGCAGCAAGGGAGTGACACCCCTCCTCGCTACAACGAAAATATCAGAGGAAACTTCACCCTAATTTCTACAGAATCTTGCTACAGCGAGACCCTCTCACTACAGCGAGACTGCAACCTAGAAATGCACCTTTCTCTTTTGCGTTCTCACTGTTACAGCGAGAACGCAACAGAATCACTCCCTTCTCCTAGGACCTTCACACTACAACGAGAATGTCCCTACAACACACAGTTATCCTGTTTCTTCAATTAATCCAATTCAACCACCAGTCAAACATTCTCAATCAATCTACATACGTATTCACATCATAACACAGTCATATAGATTCCATGAGTTCATAGCAATTTCAAGAGTAGTATACTTTCAAGAGTTCATAGCATAGTTTAGAACTTTCATCGTTCATCACCTTTATAGACCATAGCACATTCTCCTTCATAGATTCATAAGTTCATAATTCCATAGTTTTATAGTTTAATACTCATGAAATTTTGGTGCAACACTTTAGAAATTTTAGCCATAGCATATTCAAATCAATCACCCATAGTTCCTTCAAGAAATTAGCTCTTGACTCTCTATACCATTATCTCTTCTCACTTTATTTTTCTTAACTTATTTTTTCTCACTCATTCCTCAAACATTTAATTAAAGTTCATCTAATAGAATTCTCACTCTATTATTCTTATTCTATCAAACCTCGTCCTTTTAACTTAGTCGATTTTTCATTCCTTTCATCTCCAATTTCTTTGCTATCCCCTTCTCCCTTGGTCTTACCTCTCAGTTTTTTTTTCTCTTTTTGTAGCGCATTACTCACTAAAATTGTGATACCAACTTTTATAACATAGTAGTTCAGAGAACACCAAAATTTGGTAAATTTTTTTTTTCTTTCTTCATACAATTACAAGCATAGCTTTCTTTCTCTGAGAGAGAGTTAACATGCATATGAATTTGATATCTCACCATTCCATAGATAATTATCATTCCATATTTCAATCTCAATAGTATAGTAGAATAAGAATAGGCACAGCTCATAATATGATAATACCTTGATATATTAAGCATCAGTTTGGCAGAATAGTCAAGTACTAAAACAAAATTAAAGATGAGTAGCATTATCCAAATACAATAGATGAGTAGCATTATCCAAATACAAAGACATAACAAAATAAGACCATACTTCCTAAGAGCAGTTCCCCTAATACATAAGTAAATAAAACAGAACATCAATCATAAAGAGAGTAATCCTCAATGGGATCTGACTCTTCAGAAGAAGTAGGGGAAGCAAAACTAGCAGCAGCAACCGTGCCAGGATTTTTGCTGTTCTTCTCCATCAATCCAGCAGTGGAAGGAGGTGAATGAGTGTCGCAGATGGGAATAAGGTAGAAGGGTATCCAGGATGCATATATGATGGCATAACCTAATGGAGGATTCCACCACATGGACATCCCTCTCCATTGACACAGGTGGAGAAGCAGGGTTCATAAAAGGAAAAGGCACGGGAGCGGGGGCTAGTCTAGAGATAGAAGTATGAGGGTTAATAGACATAGGAGTCAGGGAAGCAGATAAGACAGGGTAAGGTAACTGAGTGTCACCAGGAGGGACAGAAAAGACAATCTCTATAGGGGTGTCAGCAACAAACTGGGTGATCCATAAACCTCCACTATCCATTCCATGAATCACTCAAGCAATTCTGTGGAAGATACTCTACTGAGCCGCGGAGTCGAACACCTACATATCTTCCTTAGAGGGAAGGATCCATACCTTCACCTTGTTCCTGTCCATTTATATAAATAGAAGAAAAGCAATACAAGGCAACATAAACAAAGGGGTGAGTTCTCCATACACAAACAACATTCAATAGCCATACCCCAAGGAAGGCAGTGTCACAAATACAAATCAGTCCAACAATCAACATTCAGCATCATCAAATATTCAGTAATATGGGGGGGGTGATAAACAATATCCATAGTCATTGCCAAATTCACAAGCACTTAATCATCCCTATTAGTAATGCATATGATGTATGAATGCAGGTTTCGATCTCATCCATATAGTCACTCATGTGTCAATAGCATGCAAATAATGCATGAGGATCTCATTTCTCTATGACTGGCGACTTTCCCAGCTTTTAGCATAGAGATAGATAGATAGATAGATAGATAGATTCAAGTCGTATAGATAGATAGATAGATAGATAGATTCAAGTCGTATGGCGATCGGAGGACTCCATTCCTTACTTTGCACAGTAAAATCATAGATAGAAATAGAAATAGTAGCACATCAGTTTGATGTGTAGTGCCATTCGGCACGTTCAGGAATGGACCTCAAAGATCCTAGGATTTGGAGCTCATGTCAGATTTGGCTAAGGTCTTGCAAGTTGGGTCACGACCCGACAACAGGGAGCTCAGCTGACTATGCCACTTCGGTCAATGTTCCCCCTTTCGCCATCCTCAGAAGGTCTACTCGGGACCGAACCTCCAATACCTACAGTTGTGCCTCTGTAATGCCATCAAGTCGTTCAAAAGATAGTATGATGCATGAAGTAGCATTTTCAGTTTTCATTTGATAGCTTTCTTATTTCATTTAGCCGCTTAGAGGCTATTGCACAGTAAGAATAAGAGCCATCATGGGCTTAGCATCATAGTATAAAGCATAGAGCTAGAAGTCATTATAGACTTAGCAGCATGGATAGATAAATTCCATGAGTCTCATGCCGTAGCATGGATAGATAGTTTCTATGAGTTTCATAATAGTTTTCAATGAGTTCATAATAGTTTCAAAGTAGTATAGTTTCAAGAACTCATAGTATAGCATAGATCTTTCATAGATTCATAGTCTCATAGTTTTATAGATTCATACTCATGGATAGTTTTTAGTGCAACATTTAGTAGTTTAGACCGTAGTTTAGTCAAATCATTCAATCCTTCATAATTCATATTCTCCTTCTCGGTTCACTCTATTTCTTTTATGTTCAAGTCTAGTTCTTTTTAATTTAGTACAATTTCATTTCTCAATCCATGTAATCTCGCCATTTAAGTTCATCCTAATCATTCCATTTATTTCCATCAATCTCTAACCCCTTCTAAACCATTAAACATTCAAATTAAACTCTTACTTACTTGATTATTTCCTCTCGGTTTTGCTATCCATTAAAGAATATTAATCAAACTTAAACTCCTTCTAAACCATCAATTAGTTCAATTGATTCTCATGCCCCCAAGGTTATTACTTC